ATGATGTGACACAGCAGGGTATATATGCATCCAGCTACCCCTCCAGAATGACCCATTCACACCAATAATGGTGTACCAATAATTGTACCCTCTACCCTCCAATAATGCTGACCTCCAATAATTCTATCCCTACAATAATTGTGACAATTATTGTAGGAGCTGGAGGCTTATAAAGAGGACTACACTAAAACCAAACAGCACATTGGTATACAGTATTCGTTATATTGTATTTGGATTTCCAACACTCCCCCTTGCTGTAGGTTTTAGTGAATCCGTTTTCCTTGGAGGATGGGGTGGTCGAGGTGGTATACCACCACAAGGTAGGGGTGCGCCCAAACCAAGTTAGGGTTTGGTGTTGGCCAAGCTGCTTGTCACTGTAGCACCTTTCCCCTCCCAACCTTTGGGCCTTCCAAACTCCAACCAAACCACATGCCTTCACGTTTTCCATTCCCTCCTTCCAATCTCCTCATTCTAGATCGAGATCTAGAGAGTAGTGGTTGCTGTTGAGGAAATCGTAGCAGCTCCATGGCGAAATCTCCTCAAAACCATGGCGGAATGCGCGTATCGTCATGGCGGAATGCCCTGAGCGCACGCCGAATTTCCGAAACCGTAGACTTTACGACACGCGATTGTCAGTGCTGCTGTCTTTTTCGCACGCCTCCTGTGCGACGACGTGAAACCGCAGTGGATGCGCGTCTGCGACGACTGCAGCTGCGGATGACGCGAATCGGTAGCGGATAACACAGGGCGTGCGGCTGGCGCGGAACTGCATTGGCGGGCGCACACTTCGCGCGATAGAAGCGACGACTTGTCGTTCATCAGCAGCTGTCGATCTGCTGCGCGTCTGCTGCATCATTTTTGTGTCCGCGCTTGCTGCATCTTCGTAGGCCTTTCTCCCCATGCTTTGGCAATCATGCCAAGTTTGCTCAAACTTCACCTATGTTGTCCTGTGATGCTCCCCATTCACTCCAGTCGACACACGGTAGTAGCCGGAGTTGCCGAACTTCATCAGCTCGAGGGTTGCGCATGCTGACGAACTCCAAGTATCCCAGAAAACTGTACTCCATATATGCAGAAACGTCCTCTTTACGTATGCAGTGCACACCAGGTATGCAGAAATGTGCACACCAGGTATGCAAAAGTGTCCACACCAGGTATGCAGAAATATTTTCTCCCATGTAGATTCTCCGTTCTTCCCTCGCGGTTGTGCCGTTCATCAGCAGCAACCAGTCGCACGATACTACTGCTTCACAACGGATGACGACCGGCTGCATCCATTCTGCCTGCTCCCCCTTCCTATTGGCAACCCTTGGTGAGTAGGTCTTCCACTTATGCTCCTTGACTCCATATCCCACTCCTGTGCCACCAGATACACTCCACACCTCAACCCCCCCCACCCATGCGCTTGTAGTCATGCACGTAACCGCGTACACAGCTACAAGCACATGAGTGTGGAGTTAAATGATGTCATGTTGTGCAGCACCGTTCGAGGTGGCCGCATAGGTGAGTACAACTCTAGAATCATTGACTTGGCGATCATCAGCAGATGGTACGCCCGTTCCGCTTCCTTGCGTTGCATCAACTTCATCAGCTCCATGTAAGTCATGTTTTACAAGGTCTGCTCCATCGACTCCCGAATCCATCGCGAACCGTTTTCCTTCTCCCCCTGAAGTCCACACCGCCCTGTGGGGTGAGACTTCATCAGTGGTATCATCATGTGCCGGCTTGCGTACGATGCATGTTTTGTGTGCCATGCGATATGTGACAGATGCATGTGCAGACTTGCCACTCGAGTGCATCCCAGGTGTGCGGAAATCCGTGCTCCCATGTGCATCAATGTGCACACCAGGTGTGCGGAAAAGGGTAACCCCTTCACGATCAACCTGATTCGATGACGCGCCATCACGGGACTGTCCAGGAGCATGGGCGGATGTAAGTGCATGCGCATACTGCACCACGAGCAATCCATCCACGTTCTTGCCAAGTCCAATCCGCACGTACTCCTCTCCATCTTTCATGGTGACCTCCGCGTCTCCATTAGCAATCGTATTGATGTGCGCTCCCTTTTTCAGCAGCTGACAATAGGAGAGCAGGTTACTCTTCAAGCCAGGTACGTAGAGGACGTCAGTGTACCGAACTGTTGTCCCATCAGGTGCCGTTACTCTGATCGTTCCTGTCATCTTGCTGCTCAGCTCGCTCCCATTAGCAAGCTCCACATAAACAGGTTCGTCCAGCTCCCTTAACTCTTCAAACCAGCTCTTGTCCGAAGTCATGTGCTGGCTGCATCCACTATCTAGCATCCAAGATGACGCTTTAGCTGGCGGTAAGGTAGCTTGTGACAATCCCACCATTGCAATGCACGTAACAGTACGTTGTTTGTCTTCCCCGGCTGCCCCTTGCTGTTTTGATGCATTGTTGTCACGCTTGGGGCTGCAACTCCTTCGTGGGGAGGACGAACGGCTGTCGCTGGTGTGCAGTTTTGCCTTTCCGCGGGTATGCGGTTCCCACCCTGGTGGTGTCCACCCAGGGGGTGCCTTGGTACACTTGAAGAAGGGGTGGCCAGGCTCCTTGCAGTACCAACACACGAGAGATGAGCGACTTGCATCTCCATCCTTGCCATGCGTTTTCTCCCCAATTGACCCCTCCTTCCCGTTATTGCCCTTAGCAGTTGGAGAAGGTGAGCGGTCTCCACGTGCTTGTCCAACCATGCGAGGTGGACGCCGGTCACGGTTGTCCTTTGTGATGAGGTCGTGATACCTCTGCTCCTGAATCATCATCCGCTGCAAGGTGAAGCTGTCCGTCACGTTGTGTAGCATTGCCGAGTGCCTCATCTCCTCCCATTGCGCCGGTAGTCCGGTGAGCAGATTTAAGGTGAATGTGTCCTCATCCACCATCTTCCCCGCGAGTGCTAACTTGTCCCGGATTGCCGTTGCGCGGTTCACGTACTCCTCCACCCTTTCCGCGTTCCCCATTTTCAGGTTGTCCAGCTTCTTCATGAGAGAGACCTTCGCCACCGAATCTTTGGCCTGGTAAGTGTCCATTAAGTACTCCCATGCTTCATATGCCGGGCTATAGGATTCCTGGAACATGTCCAGCTGTAGCTGAATCGTGGCGCTCACGCTGTGCAGTAGGACCCAAAAAGCGAGCGCCGCACGTTGTGAGTAGTCCGCCTGTAGCATTTCCAGCCGCTCCATAGCGTCGTTAATGTCACCATCTCCCATGGTAACCGGATACTGCAGGGTCACAAAGAACTCCCACAGATTCGTGACGCGAGCGTTCATACGAAACCGTAGTGCCCACTCCCGGAAGTTCGAGCCATCAAACGGAGTAGTGGTGAACGCTTTGTCCACCGTTGCTCCCACCATTTTGCGTGACAGCCGTTCCTTGTCTTCTTCCGTGTATTCACGTGGAGCGGGGTCGAAGAGAGTAGGCACGGTTGACGGTCGAGGTAGCTGAACCGTGCGCTGCATGTCCCCATTCTGTCCACCAAGTTGACGTTCCATCACTTCCACTTGATCGCATCGCATGACACCGCTTGACTGCATTCCGTATCCCATCCGCCCCATGCTGTCCACAGGATGTACTCCTATCGGTGGACGTGGTGCACGCGGAGGTATGTCATAGCCGCCATGAAGGTGAGACCTGGCCATGGGAGGAACTCCAATGGGATGGGAGTTAGTCGCAAGTCGTCGTAGTGGGGGAGAACCAATAGTGTAGGAGGCAAAACCCACACCTTCTACGCCCACTTGAACATTTCCGTCACCCTGCTGCCCAATCTGTCCACTTCTCATTCCACCATGCACTGCACTCCCATACTCCCATGCAGGATCCACTTCGCCATCGAAGTGCGCCATGATCTTGATCAAAACCGTCCACCAAATGTGCGGTAAACGCGCAGCTGTAACCAACAGCGAACACCAGGTGTACGAAAGCGTAGACCGGGTGTGCGGTACTCCGACTGTATGCAGGTACCTATCCAAACTGTATGCCAGTAAATTCCTGAACCAGTTTTGGCAGCATGCCCCCTAGAGTAGCTCTGATACCATGCTAGAAAGGCATAGTGCCAGCGTAGCGGAAACGTGTTTGTAAAAAAGAACAAGATAGAAATCTTGCATTGATCATTGAAAAGTAAAAGGATGACACAATGAGTACTCAATGATTACTCAATGATGTGACACAGCAGGGTATATATGCATCCAGCTACCCCTCTAGAATGACCCATTCACACCAATAATGGTGTACCAATAATTGTACCCTCTACCCTCCAATAATGCTGACCTCCAATAATTCTGGCCCTACAATAATTGTGACAATTATTGTAGGAGCTGGAGGCTTATAAAGAGGACTACACTAAAACCAAACAGCACACTGGTGTACAGTATTCGTTATACTGTATTCGGATTTCCAACAACTTTATCTTTTTTATCAGGGCCGCGAAACCGCGTTTCCGAGGATAACGTCAGCCTCCACTGGAATCTGCCACATGGCAAATTCTAGTGGGCCCACTGTGACACCTGATTGGTTGACATCAGTGCCAACCTCGCGCAGCTTGGGTTCATGCAGTACGAGGCCAGAATCACGCACGGTGCTGTGTTGTCATTGTACCTGTGACTCCTTGACTGCCGTGTAGTCACGTCCAGGCTTCCTCACAAGGGTTTGCTCTTCCCTTCGTCAAGCGGTTCCAGTGCACGTCTTTGACAAGTGCTCGGCAGGCTGTGAGAGCGTCTCCTTCCTGTGCACGAGGTATCGACTTTAAAGTCATTTCTCCCATGGCGAGTGACATCGACCTGCCTTAGTTCCCAAGCATGGCTTCATCTCCAGATTCTAGCAGTACGGTAGATAGGCGGCAGCGGCCTGTTTCCACCAATCAGACTAGTGCTGCTGCACGCACACGGACGTCTCCTCGCCCGAGCTTGCCTCAGCCGGATGCTCCCGGTAGTGCTTCTACCAGGGATGAACCGAGCAGTAGCTCGGACCGTCCTCGCCCTACCCTTCCTCGAATGGTTGTCCCCACGTTCCCGGAGCGTAACCGCCCGCAGGGACAGCCGAAGCGCAACGCCGATGCTGACCCGCCATCCCCTCGCCACCGCATGGCAAAACGCCAGCGCAATGCAATCACCGCGAAGGAGAAGCTCCACTGGTTGAAGATGCAGGACTCGCAGCCCGACCTGTCGAATCGCGCCCTGGCGAAGCTCGCGAAGGTGTAGCCATGCCAGATTCGCGATTGGAAGAAGATGAGGGAGCGGCTGGAGGTCGCTTCCAGCTGCCGCCGTTGCCTCATGGGAGCTGGCCGCAAGTCCAAGTACCCTTTCATGGAACAGACGGTCTACCGCCAGTTCCTTAAGCACCGGGGGAGGGGGCTCGCCGTTTCGTTCAGCATGCTCCAGAAGTGGAGCGCCAAGTACATGAAGCACCGGATGCCCGGGATCAACTGGCGCGCATCGTTCCGCTGGGCAACTCGTTTCCGTGCGCGCTGGCATCTGGCGAGGCGGGTGAAGACGAAGATGGGACAGAAGTTAGCAGCGGGTAAGTGTTGCGCCATCGTGCTCTGGTTTGCCATCTCAGTTGAGAGCTAATGCATCTCGTGGCTTTGCTTGCAGATTGCAAGGCCAAGGTGGAGTCCTTATGGGAGTTTGTGCGCCAGATGCGCTCTCTGCACGACTACCCGCTTGACCTCATCTTGAACGCGGACCAGACCCCGCTTCCTGGAGATGCCGGCGGAGCGCACGCTCAAAATGAAGGGAGCGCTGACGGTTCACGTACGGAGTGCGGGCTATGAGAAGGAGCTTGTTACTGTCATGCTGGCAGTAACTGCGAGCAGGCTCAAGCTGCCGCCGTACGTGGTGTTCAAGCGCAAGACCATCCCGAAGGGGCCCATCCCTGCCGGTAAGCATAGCACGTTTAGGATGATGTCCGTGCTCTTGCCTATCAACAGTCGCAACCGAACCTGACCCTGACGTATCGGTATTCTTTGGCAGTTGTGGTGGTCTGTGCACAAGACAAAGGGTGGATGGACGAATCACATGTGTAGGACTGGATCACCCAGGTGATGGTGCCGTTTCTGAAGCCCTTGCGTGAATCAATTGGACGCCGCAAGGAGGCCTTGGTTGTGCTCGACTCCTACCGCGGCCACTTGACCAAGGCGGTCGGGCAGACCATGCGGATGTTTTGGCTGTCACGGGCTGTCATCCCAGGGGGCTGCACTCCCCTAGTGCAGCCTCTGGATGTGTCGATCAACCGCGCATTCAAGTGCGGTGTGTGTCATCGCTACAGTGGCTGGTTCGAAGAAGAGGGAATCAACACCACCACCAAGGCCGGAAGAAGGAGCTCGTGAAGAAGGCGTTCGTCACGTGTGGGATCTCCACCCCCATCGATGGCACCGAGGACCACCTCATGCTTGCCCACATGCGGGACAAGGGTGAGGTGGAAGTCCTTGACGACGTCAACGACCTGGTTGACGACGAGCTCATCGTCAACCCCTTCTACGCCGAAGTCCCCATGCCGGCCGAGGAGCTGCAGGCGGCGGCACAGGAGGCTGACGCCGCTGAGGAGGACGCGGAAGCGGCGGCGGCAAAGGAGGAGGGGGGCGTGCTTGAGGAAGGCGGGGAGGCAATTGAGCCCAGCGATGATGAATGGTGGCGCCCTGGCCGCTTTGACGGGGAAAATTGTGAAGAATGGCATGCAGGAGACGATTCTGCGTAGAAGGCACTTTGTAGAGTCTTTTTAGGTGAAATTGTGGATGTGAGGCGATCTTGTGGTGATGTTTCTGCAGTCTAGGTAAAATTGTCGATGACTATGTGCTGGCACATTACTTCGGTAGTACCTGTAATGTCCCCTGTATGCTATGTAAGCAAATTCGGTATTTATGCCGCCCATAACACCCCCCCCCCCCCCTCCGGGTCTTATAGAGAATCAGGCAAAAAGGGGGGTATAGTAGAAACGAGGCTGCCCATAACACCCACACCGCACAAGCTACCCGGGGGTGTACAATTATGGGGGGGTGTTTTGTCCGGGAGAATACGGTAGTAGCGTTCGTTCCTTAGTTGTTTGCTTGTGCTTGCACTGCTTGCTCATTCACAAGGCAGTTCGGCAAGAGTTTCACTACCAAAAGTTATCAACAATGGTAAAGAATAATAGGAACAACATTGGCAAGGTTGACTACATCAGAGCTAGCAAGCATGCCGGTCGACTGCCAGCGCAGCACGGTCGACCGCGTTCCAGCACGACATAGTCGATCGCGCTCCAGCAGGGACAAAGTCGCGGTCTGCCAACGCTGCAGGTCGACGGCGTGCCAACACTGCAATCAGTTGGCTGCCCAGCGCTGCACCCGCAGGACAGCACTGCACCTGCTTCACAGGTGCTCGCAGCTGATTGGTGTCCCGTGCCCTGTCACCTGCACAGCGCACACACCAGATCGTCCTCGTGCTGACAATTGCGTTTGATCAACCACGTCGACCTTGGGATACCACACCGAGGTCAGCTTCGCTACACACGCCTGGGCAACCGTCGCGTGCCTCCGCAGAAACCCATCGCCCGGGTAACATGGTCGACCAGGCAACCACCTCGTTGACCAGCTACTCCTTGTGCCCGTCAACCACGCAGGTCGACGACCACCACCGGTGGACCATCCCAAGTCGACCACAAACCTGGTCGACCGACTCCAGGTCGACCAGCACAACTGGCAGCCGACCACACTAGGATGACTTCCCCACATCGGCGTCACCAAGTCGACGCCTCCAATGTCAATCTCACCAGGTCGACAACCCGAAATCGGCGCCATCGCAAAGTCGGCGCCTTTGCAGCGGCCCCCGTGCAGGTCGACCAACCCCGTCGACCAGCTCGCCCACTGCTGCAGGTCGGCTGCATTCCTCGCACATCTGACCACGAAGTCGGCTCCGCCCAAACAAGGACGGGGCCTCACAACGACTCCCATTGACACTCCCCTACCGCATTCACGCTTGGGCCCCCAGCCCACACGATAGCACCACACGAAGAATAGCTCGTCGGCATGCACACAACGCACAGCACGCTGGCAACGCACCAGCCATGCTAGAGCGCATGGCACCTACTGCTGCGCGACGTTGTCGCCCTCGCCCACGTTGGCCAGGCGCACTTGGCCGATTGCAACGGAGCACCGGTTGAAGGCCGGGTAGTGTAGCGCCTTCGTCAGGAAGTCGGCCCGCTGCTCGGTGGTCGGGATGTACATCAACAAAAACTTCCAGCGCTTTACCATGTGCTGCAACCAGGCATGTCACCGCTCCATGTGCTTGAGGTTGCCCATCAACCCCATGCCCTCGGCGACCGTAATGGCCGACTTGTTGTCCACCCGAAGGAGAGTCGGTGTCCCGGCGTCAAGCTGCCCGAATTCTGCAAGAAGGAAGCGAAGGCGGCGTCCCTCCTTGTCGGCCTCGGTGGCCGCCACGTACTCCGACTCTGTCAATGACAGCGTCGCACACTTGATGCGCTAGCTCAACCAGGAGATTGCGGCCCCTTTGTAGACGAACACGTAGCCACCCGTGCTCGTCCGGCTCTGCTTGTCGCCGGCGTCGTTGGTGTCCACATAGCCGACCAGATCCAGCGACTCTGGCCCACCGCCAGGCGGTGTCGCGTGTATTGGCGAGGTAGGCGAGGCAGCGGTCCACCTCGCGCCAATGCTGGTTGCTCCTTACCGTAAGGCCGCACCCCAGCTTGCTACAGGCAAAGGCGATATCCGGCCTCATCATTGTCGCCGCGACCTGCAGCGAACCGACCTTTTGCCGGTACTCCTCTTCCTTGCGCTCCTGTGCCTCCTCTTCGTCGAACGTCAGCTCAGCGTAGGCGTCAACGGTGTCTTAGGGGTGCGCCCGGTCTTCTCCTGGTTGCTGAAGCGCCTATGCAGCTTGTCGGCGTAGCCCTGCTGGTGCAGCCACAGCTTCCTCACCGACCCGTCGCGCACGATCTCCAGCCCGAGGTACCTCTCCACCTGTGAGATCTCGCGTAGCTCGAAGGCGGCCTCCAGCAGCTCCTTCAGTTCTTTCAGGCATCACGGTGCTGCTGATGGCGGCGAGCATGTCGTTGACGTAGAGCAGCACCCAGCAGGCTACACCATCTCCCCCAACCTTGAAGTACAGAGCCTCGTCGACCTGGCTCTTCTTCCACCCGGCGTCGACCAGCACGTCGTTGAGTGCCTTGTAACACAACAGCGGCGACTGCTTCAGCCCATACAAGCTCTTTAGCAGCTTGCACACCCGGCCGGTCCCGTCGTTGTAGTAGTCCGGCTGATACATGTACAGCACCTGGTCCAGCTTGCTCTGGAGGAAGGCGTTCTTCATGTCGAGTTGAATCAGGTTGAGGTCGAGGACGGCGACGATCCTAAGGAAGATCATGAGCGTGAAGTAGCTGCTCACCGGCGTGTATGTCTCGTCGTAGTCAGTGCAGTACACCTGCGTGAAGCCCTTCACGACCAACCTCGCTTTCTCCCGAGCGGCCGTGTCGTTGATGTGGTACTTGGTCATCAGCACCCACCGGTTCTTCATGATGTTGACCTCGCGCGGGCGTTCGACCAGCTCCCAAGTCTCGCCGACACCCGCAACACCGCCATAGAGTTTGGTGGTGGACCAGAGTCGCTGGAGCTGATCGGCTATGTGGATGCCGACAACGCGGGCGACAAACACAACCGGACGAGCACGGGCGGCTACGCGTTCGTCTATGGAGGGGCCGCCATCTCCTGGTCGAGCTCGTGCATCAAATGCATGACATTGTCGTCGACCGAGTCGGAGTACGTGGCGGCCACGGATGCAGGCAAGGAGGGACGCCGACTCCGTTTCCTCCTTGCAGAATTCGAGCTGCTCGACGCTGGGAAGCCGACCATCCTCCGTGTAGACAACAAGTTGGCAATCACGGTCGCTGAGGGCTTGGGGCTGACGGGCAGCCTCAAGCACATCGACGCTACGCCTGGCTGCGGCACATGGTGAGGCGCGGGAAATTCATGCTGAAGTACATCCCGACCACCAAGTAGCCGGCAGAATTCCTAAGGAAGGCGCTGCATTTTCCGGCTTTCAACTGGTGCTCTGTCTCCATCGGCCAAGTTCGTCTGGCCGACGCCAGCGACGGCGACGATGATGTGCAGCAGTAGGTGCCGTGCCCTTCTGCACGGCTGGTGCGGTGACGGCGTGCTTTGTGTCGGGTGCATGCCGATGACGAGTTCTCTCCGTGGAGTACTGCCGTGTGGGCTGGAGGCCCAAGCGTGAGCACGGCAGGGGAGTGTAAACGGGAATGGAATGTTGGCCCCGCCCTTGCTTCGGCGACGCCGACGTCTTGGTCATGTGCACGGGAGAAGCAGCCGACTGTTCACAGTGAAGGAGCTGCTCGACAGGCCTCGTTGAGCTGCAGGGAATCACTGTGGTGTTGCCGTTGACCAGGGAGTTTGACAGCCTTCTTCTGCGAGGTAGGATGACAAAGTGGTCGTCGACGTGCACAGGTCTGTTACGGGGCTGGAGCCGTCGACCATGGAATTCGACGGCTGCAGACTGAGTTGGTCGACAGGTGGGCTGTCAACCAGGAGGTCCAGTGGCTCTCCGCAATATGAACTACAGGCAACACTTCACCTCGTGCAAGAGGTCCTTGGCCCAGCCTATACAGAAGCTGCAGCTTTTGCCCATGCGCACACATGGCTCTTCTCGAGAGTAAGGAAAGGATTTTTTCATTGCAGTTTGTGCGTTAGTAGTAGACTTAGTAGTTGATTTATAGTTCTGCAGATTTTGAGCACCATCGCGGAAAAGGGCAGGGCGAAAAACAACTGGAAAGTTACAGTTCCGTAACTTTTCCGATGCATTTCGCACGTAAGAAAAATCTTTTAGTTGAAAACAGTGGTAGCTCACGTGACTTGCGAAGTGACTTTCCCGTCACTTTCACGGCACAAACTGTACACTTTGACGCATCTGTAAGGTATACAGTAAAGCAACCTCAAAGCAACAATAACGCAACCTCGGCGAAAGTGTAGCCACACCGCCACGTGGCATACGACATACTCGAGATGAAACTGAAACACACTGACGTGGCCGTCACCGTACGTTAATGGCAACCGTTGGATCCGATTAATATCATCGCACCAAAACGTGACATGTGGCCCAATCGACGAGAACAGTAGGTGTGCGAAATCGAATCGCTATTGGCTGGTAACTGGAATATCAACAGTTTCGGTTGACGCTTATACTACATTGGTGTACGTTTTCTGGCAACGATAACATTTTCCAAATTAAAACACTGATTTTACAAAGCATCCAGATTAAAAACCCTACACAAACGTACAAGCTACCTGTAAGGAAAATTCCTTTTCCTTACTTCGCGTCCCCGCTCAGCGCGTACACCACTATAGCACCACAGTCAGCACCGTTACCACTCGCAAACCTCGCATCGACAATCCTCCCGCCAACTTCGCACGTCGCACCCCGACCTCACGGCTCGGCGGGTAACCCGCGCTCCGGGCCTCCGCTTCGACATTCCCCCAAACCTCAGTCCCAGGCCCGTCGCGCGACAACCACAGTCCATTACCATTACCACTGTAGTTTCACTATATATTCTTCGCTCATGCCTTCGCTCATTGTACTCTTGCTTCGATTGTGCAATTCTCGCTCGATCACTCAATTGCACTCGTAACACTTGGTATTCAGAGCCTACGATCTCTTCTCGGACCGCACCCACACCTTCGCTTCCCCACTATC